TAGTCGATATATTCTTTTATATGTATGATAATGAGCCTTTCTTACCTCCTTTGAAAGTAAAAATTCTTTTGTATTTTTCACATGCTAACGAGGTCAGAAAAGCTTATTATCATATATATAAAAGACTATATCATTAGGCCGCCATGATCAGTGATATCCGCTATGGATGATCCGTGATATCAGTAGCTTCAATAAGTCTGAATCAATATCCCACAAAATTAAACTTTTGGTGTTCGATTACCCTGAATCACTGATGCCACTGATCATTGCTATGCTAAGTTATGCCTAGTGTATATGTGACAGGACTTGTACTTAAACAGAAGATACTTCATTCCCCTCCTTATTTGATATCCTATTAAATATATGTTGGATTGTATATTTTTAGAGCCAAGTGAGATTGACAGAAAAGGTCCAGAAAAGCACATGGAAGGACCTGCACAACAAGCCTTTGAGCTTAATCTCTCTCCATTCTTCTTTGGTATAAGAGTTCACAACTCCTTGACGGCAATAGCGTTAGCCGTTATTGCACTAGCCGGTTTTTTCTTTCTCCTTTGTTGTTGTCTCGGGGTTTGGGGTCGTTACTGTGACGTCGTCGAAAATCATCACCGTTTAGTAGCCCAGAATCGGGGAAATCAAGGAAGGTATGTATACAACGACCCCTCACCAAGATTCAAGGCGGTGCAATTTTTCATATGCGAGATCGGAGAAATGTTTTACCTAAATTATGGAGACGCCTTGTTATTACATTGCAGCGACTTAACGGAGCTATAGGGCTGGGTAGGCTATAGCCCCATCTATAATTTCGCAGGGATTTTTTTTTTTTGGCATTTCCAAAAGTACTTCTAATCTTTGGGTTAAAAGTAGGGTTTGATAGATTGTGTTAGCATAATTTTTGGCAAAGTAATTCGTCATTATGAGCATAATTTTCATGTACCGTAAAATTCAGGAAATAAGCCCCTCCATGTATAAGCCCCTGGGAAAACTATACAGTAACACGTAAGTTTTTGCATTTGCCATAGAACCATTACGTGAGTCAAAAAGTGTCACAGTGTATTGCTGTTTGCGTAGTTCACTCTAAACTCTTGACTTGGATTTCCTCTTTCCATATAGACAAAGTACTTGCTTTGGTGAGTTTTAGGGCCTCTTCATATGAGCCCGGTTGACGCTTCGTTACCTGATGAATTTTGCCTAGGGTTCATATGAGAAATTTCAGCCCGGTTTCCGAGATGAGAAAAGGTGAAAGATCCTGGGTATAAGTTCTGACGTCAAATTTGCGAAACAAAGCAAACATAGCGAAACACAAAAATTTTAACTTTCGGGCCTATCTTAGCATCGGTAACTCTTAAAGCTGTATCACTGCAGTTAAATGGGATGCTTATGATGTGGANTTGTGTTAGCATAATTTTTGGCAAAGTAATTCGTCATTATGAGCATAATTTTCATGTACCGTAAAATTCAGGAAATAAGCCCCTCCATGTATAAGCCCCTGGGAAAACTATACAGTAACACGTAAGTTTTTGCATTTGCCATAGAACCATTACGTGAGTCAAAAAGTGTCACAGTGTATTGCTGTTTGCGTAGTTCACTCTAAACTCTTGACTTGGATTTCCTCTTTCCATATAGACAAAGTACTTGCTTTGGTGAGTTTTAGGGCCTCTTCATATGAGCCCGGTTGACGCTTCGTTACCTGATGAATTTTGCCTAGGGTTCATATGAGAAATTTCAGCCCGGTTTCCGAGATGAGAAAAGGTGAAAGATCCTGGGTATAAGTTCTGACGTCAAATTTGCGAAACAAAGCAAACATAGCGAAACACAAAAATTTTAACTTTCGGGCCTATCTTAGCATCGGTAACTCTTAAAGCTGTATCACTGCAGTTAAATGGGATGCTTATGATGTGGATAATACAGCAGGCAATGCAAGACGATGCCATCAGGGCCGCCAGAATTCATCCCGCCGTTCATCCCGGTAACCGGGATGAAGTGTTCATGTGGCAAAATTTCCAGCCCGCTTACCGAGATCTCGGTTGGAAAAACCGAGATCTCGGGAACTGAGCCAGCCCGCCCTCTCATATGAACACATCGACAATTTTACAAAGGATTTAGAGGTGAGGCGAGATCTCGGAAACCGGGCCAGCCCGGTCAACCGGGCTCATATGAAGAGGCCCTTAGTAAGATCTACGTCCTCATGGCGAGTTCCTGTAAAAATTTCCGAAAATTACAGACGTAAATGTCCTTTCAACTGTAAGCTAGCCCAATCGATTTTGAAACGCAAATTTCCCTCGTTATATAAGCCCCTCAAAAAATGCCTTTGAAAAATATAAGCCCAGGGGCTTTTTTTTCCGGAATTTTACGGTATTTTCCGAAAAAAGCACTCCTAGCATAATTTTGCGCTTTTGGCTAGTTTTGCAGTACACAATTGTCATTTATTGATCATGCAACCAATTTTTACGGCCTGAGATCAGTGTTACAGTTAACGTTCAGAAACGAACTGCTTATTTTCACATTCATGAGACGCATGCTCATATATCTTGCTCGGTTACGCGCCCAAGATGGCGTCCCCGTGCTGGTTTCTAATTATTGGAGTTTTTACTGTTAAGTTGTCAAACAATAAATAGATGTAAACAAATTTAGTGTTTGGCATTAACTTCTTTTTTCCACAATTATTAGGTGTTTTTACCTAATTTGAAGTAAAAAAAGAAGTATAAGTTCTGCACTTTCCGCTATAATGAGCATAATTTACAAAAACTAGCGTAATTAAATCATTGGCATAATTTTAGAAATATACGAGCACTGCTAGAAGTATATATTATGCTACTTTTACGAGCTTGATCTATGAAACCTTAGTTATGACTACTATAATTTTCAAACTTGATCACATTAATAAGCTCATAATATTATAATAAACAACTCCCTTGATTAGAGTACTGTAGCGGCCTAAAATGATAAAATTTATTGCTTTGTTAATTATAACTTCCAACAACACCCATAATAATAAAGAGGTGAAGGGCGGGGTGACCAACGGCGGTCACTGACGAGTCAAAAAAAAAAAAAAGTGGGTTAGGGGGTGGTGATCGCTTACATTTCAGACTTGGAGCGAAGTCGAACGCGCTTAAATTTTAAAGACTTTTAGCTACTTTTGCAAGTCTTTTCTGCAGTTGTAGGTAAATAAAGATCACTTATAGTTCTTTCTGAACAAATCGCCAGAATGTCAGATCAAGTTAATCATTCTTTTTTATTCTTTTCCAAGGTTAAAATCAAGCTAAGGCATCTCAGATTTCCACGAAAATCACAACAAGCCTCGATAAAAATCTACAATCGACGACGACGATACAGCTGAAGACTCGATGGCACTTAATAACTCAAGGATTTAGTGTAGTGCAATAGGGAGTAGTATTAGTATTTTTGTAACCTGCGTAGCAAGCGTCTCCGCGCGAGTTCGTCGAGAAAGTTGGGACGACAGCAAACAAGAGGAATGAAGCGCGGGGGGAGAGAGAATTTCATCCGATTGCTTCCAGTCGTTTTCTCCTCTCAGCAACGAATTTACTCAATAACGACTCGAAGTAATCGGACGAATTTCAGGCTAGGGGGGAGAAGGAAACGTATCTTCTTTTTCCTTCCCCCTTCGATCTTCCATTTGTTGTGCTCTTACTCCAACCCTCGCAAAATAACTCGATTGGAAACGCTTTCTACGGAGGCATATTTTTTTACAGAGGCGACTTCAAAGATACGTATTAATTGACGTGCGAATGGAAATTAGTAAGTAGTTATCTTTTGTGTTGTACCGATTAGTTTTTTTTTAACCGATTGCTAGTAAGACTCAGAGGTTTTCACTTCTTTGAAAATTTCTGATGCCTTTATTGGGAGCGGCGTAGCCTCCACACGGTAGCACAACACGAAAAGAGGAGAAAAAAATTGTCTCGAGAGTTTAATCAAACGGTGATCAGCACGGATTTATTTCATGTTAGAAATTATAAGAACGGACCTTTGTAGCCAGGGTATAAGGATTCTTGACATGACCTGGTAATGAACAACAAACTTTAAATTCCGCACTGTAAGACGAATTATTTACGTCATATATCACGCTACCAATCAGCTGTGTGGTAAACTATAACACAGACTGGATAAATATAAATCTTGAATTCCCTCGCCTTTTTATCACTTTATTTTGAGTATGTTGACTGGCTTCTGGCTAAGATTGGCAATATATCGGCGCAGAAGACTAGACGGGTGGACTGAGTATAATATTTGCGATCAGGGACCCGTTTCTCGAAAGTCCCGTTAACTTTTCGGGCCCGAAATCAAATATTCAAATCAAAATAAAAAGAATAAGAGGGCGGGTCCCGCCTAGCAAACTACTGCATTTTGTTTCGTTAACTGATAGTTTTATCATGTTAGATGCAAAACTATTGAAACCTCGATCTTTAATGGAAACCGAGACAGCTTACCGGGCCCGTTAATTATCGGGACTTTCGAGAAACGGGCCCCAGGTACGGTTTAAGTCAGCGAACTACCACTAGTTTGTTGACTCCATTACTAAAAGGATAGAACAGTGGTAACCACCCTGCTTAACTTGGCCAAAAAGTCGGGGTTTTTTAAAATACGTTTTCAAGGCGCGAAACGCACCCGCCGGATGTTTGTTTGACTACTCAGGCGTTTTTGATCTACGCAATAATACGGACTGTGTTGCCGTCTATTTGAACAGCAGCGGTGGATGTTTATTATTCATATATTTCGTGACGTGCGCTCCGCCAGTACATTCGTTGTTTATGGAGGGTGCTAGGGAATAAAACTCATCGTTTCAAGACGAGAGGTCGGTATCATTATCTTTAACTAAAACAAGCCACCAATGGCTCCAGGCAAGCAAAATATGACAGCTGCTACCTACAAGACAAGCTGGAATTCAAGTTTCGTTTTTTGAGCCCTCTATTTGAGACCCATTATCCCCTTGGATTTAATTAATACGACGTAAGTGTATCAGCCTTCACAGACTTCGTCAGGTTTCAATCCAACTGCGAGGCTGGCAGCATACTGAGATTGATTAGATGCCTCATTGTGGGTCTGCCGTGAGGACAGTTCCAGGGATGCTCAATCTCTCCCATGTGGCAAACAACCCTCTTCATTTGAGCCTGGTTAAGTGCAGTTCCAACCATGATGGACATGCGACACGCACGACTTGCAAACATTTTCCTCACCCTTGAAGGTCTACACATCACGCCAGGAGAATCACTCAGCATAAAAATCAACTCCTCGATGTCCTCAACACCAAACGTCCAGTTCTTGCTCATGGGCAGAGAAACTAGCTTGACCTTCTTCATTGCATTGGCATTGTGATCAATTTCAAAATCAAATCCGTTCTTTTGAAATATTTCCACGTTGTCCATAAGGATAGCTTCATTGGCAGCGGTTAGTTCAAGCTTCTGGGGAACAATAAGACGTTGGGACTTAATTGTCGTGTTCCTCTGTTGATCCTCAAAGTTAAATTTCTCATCTGAAGCATGCTGGTCGATTATGAACAAATCATTGTCCAGTTTTGCGATGATAAAACCCAGGTTAAATTGACCTAAAACTTCCATACGCTTGAACATATCTTTACTAATATTTTTCGTTAGTTCTTTCTCAGCACTGGAATTGCTCTCTGGTGCTATCTTCGCTCTGAACAAACGAGCTTCTACTTCATCTGTTTTCTGTCTCGTTGGTGCCGTAACAACGCTTTTAAGTTTATTCATACTGAAACTCACTGTTGTTTCCTTTCTGTTTCTAACCATCTCTGATACCTGAGTTTGTTTCTCGGTGTTGCCAAGTTTAGGAAGAACCAGTATTGTTTTGCAAGATGCGTTACTTGAATTATCTTTAGCCTGGCCGAAAAGTGTTTGATTAGTTTTATCAAAACGCTCTGAATCTATTTCTTGCTGGACGTCTTTCTGAGAACTTACTTCGTCGTCATCAGATTCACTTACAGAAATGATATCATCCTTAACTTTAACAACTTCAATGTCAGTTTTTCTTGCTAACCGTTCATTGCTATCACCAATATTTTCAGATCTTTGAGTCTTAGCAACAGCAAAAACATTCCCACTATCTGTTTCCACAGACTCTTTGCTTTCCATCCTCGAAGCTTGTTTATCCCGCGTGAACATACTGGTAAGCTTCACCTGCTTACAGCTAGGCTCTTTTGGTTTCTCAACCACATCTTGGTCAACTGATGAAAACTTCCTCTTGAAACTGCTAAGCGATGGAAATTTCCCTTTCTCGACATGCGTCCTTGTTGGTACAACTGAAGCAGGTTGATCTGATACCTTTTCATCCTGCTTCATCTGAGAACATCGAAGGTCTTCATTTCCATGGGAGTCGCCATTGTAGTTTCTAGGAACGAACGTGGAGGCTGACAGTTTTATTTGCATCAGAGGTTTTTGATTGACATCAAATGATGCAGTTCCACCATCGAACATCTTCCTCAGCGACGATTTTATGGTGGCTAGAAGGACTTTCTCTTCCTGGACAAACACCTGTCTCTTGTCTGGAGTCACATTGACATCTACACCATCTGATAACAAAATGAAAGTCGTAAGATCAAGAGTGGAACAACTAGGCATTCATGCCTCACACTTCCAATGTTATCAGTTTTTTTGTTGAAACATAGTTCACGTTACTGGTAAATTGAAGAACAGCTCAGTACTCTAAAAATCTTTTGGCCATCTGTCAGTAGACTGTTGACCAACAGTGAGCTGACAGACGATCAATAGTTGGCCAACAGACGACAAATGGCCAACAATCGCCCCACAAGCTGCCAACAAGCGGCCAACAAACCATCAACTGTCAGCTGACAAACTGATGGTCGCCTGCCAGTCGACAGTCAACCAACAAGTGGACGACATATGTTTCAGGGAGCTGTTCTTCATGTTACCCATTACTGATGCTGACTCCTTGGGAAAACTCTCGTAAGTGATTGGCTCTAGTTGTGAACCTTTTATATGGATTCCTGAGGCAGTTGCTTACAAGGGCTTTAACTATACAAAAATTTTCCAAATTAGATGTAGCACCTATCCAGTCAGGAACAGGGAAAGAGCGGCATTGAAGGTTGAACTGATAACCCTGATTTCTTCCTGCTGAGACACTATCATATGGGATTGATTCCTGATGTTGCAGACTAGTGGAATCACACGATAATGTACATTGTGTTGTAATACAAAAGATTGAAAGGACACTGACAATACCAACACCACAGCAGAAAAGGTAACCTACATTATAGATTCTGCAAGACCAAGAAAAACTGGGAACAAAACAATCTGCACCTCTTCCCTTGTTGTTTCTTGCAGGTAGCTCGTACAATGGTACAACATTGCTTGGAGGGGTGGGGGAGGGAAAGCTTCATTTTCCTCTTCTGAATTTGGCAAAATGTTACAAAGGCCCTATAATAGCTTGTATTAATTTTTTTCATACTTAAAAACAAACAACAAACAAACAGTGTCTCAACTAATTTTGTTGTCAAAGACAGCAATGAACTGCTACTGTTTAGGATAATCGTCTAAAATGTAGGGACATATTCTGCCAGCAACATACACCATATGCATCCTAGATTGTAGGATACTGTATAAGAGTATAGTTCTCTATATTGAGCAATGTGAGGACAAGTAATAACTGAGACATGACAAGAAGGACTGCAACAAACCACAACAAACCTCGTGCCAGTGATATGTCCATCATCACAAATGGATACTGGTGTCTGTTAAACATATGGTAGACCTCATTAATGACTCGAGACACCTTGCTCAGCTCACAGGGTCGCTTGTTAACGTATAAAAACTGACGATCAGCACTGCTGCGGCCCATACCATGATCTGGTTTTGAAATGTATCCAGTGATTTTAAAGGGGTTTCCCTGAGCACTGCACTTTGAGGCAACAAGCCCAAGTTCATTGCAGTCTTCTTCTGATGGAACAGACTGCACGATGGCCATTACTGTTTGAATCTGAAATAATAATAATTATTTCTTCAGACTGGTTGACAGATAGAAAAAAAAAAAGCCACTCCCTGGCATTTTCTTCATGTGCCATTTTTTCAGACACTTGAGGGAAACAAGTGAGCTGAGGAAAAAAGATTTAAAAAGAAGAGAACTTGAAAGAGGTTAGCAGCAGGGATGTCATTAAGAGCCGCGGAGGCCAGGGATTTCCCCCATCTACTATGAGTGTGGTCTCCGGCTACTATTAATTGGAAAATAGAACCAAAAGAAATCCCTGGCTGTTTGATTCCCCGCCCACTTGTTGTATTTACCCAGCAGCTTGAAAGTTTAGAGACAACCCTGTTTGCAGGTTTTGCTGGGTGAGCCTCTTTTACACATAAGCCTTCAAATATGCCAGAAAAAATTTTGTTATCTGTCACTGCTCTGTTTTTATGGTCATCATATCTCTAACTGTTTGTCACTTAAGAGATTACAAGGGTCACCTGATCTGGTCAATCAAGGTTTTCTTAGACTTTTTCTCAACAAGACGAAATCTTTCTTCAAGGTGCAAAGCACTGGCATAGCATCACCTTCTCACACGTGCAAAGCGTGCAAGCCTCACACGCCCACAAGAGAAAAAAAATGACTGTCCGTTTTTCCACACGACAACTTCATTCTGACAAGGGGCTCCAAATGTTGTCGAGCTGTCAAAAATCTGTTCACAACTCCACCCTCTTTGTGAATTTAATAGACTTGATGACTGATTTCAGGGGAAAATTGCATGTTATCGTCTACCCTTCCCTTCCAATCTTGTGGTGAACACTGTGTCCAGTATTTGACATCTTTCCCCAGTCTCGCTCACCGTTTTTAGCCTCGCGCCAGACTTTTTGTCTGACTGTTTGTTCGTACCTGACTAAGCAGAAATATGGACTGTTTCGCTGTCCAAGGTTTTGTTGACATATATGTTACAGGTCAAAATTAAATTCAGGTTAACATTTTTAAGCTAGGTTGATTCTCAATTTCCTTTCATTGTCTCCAAGCCCTAATTCATTAATAATTAGGCATAGGAAACAAAGCAAATTGAGAACCAACCTAGGTTCAAAACTTTTAACCTGAATCTAATTTTGACCTGTCACATACATTGTACTAAACTGGCAGTGTTGGAAAAGTGGTAGCCACATTTCAATTATTGTAAAATTTCACCCATAGATTATCAAAACAAGTACAAATTTTACAAACCTGTTTGGGCCCAAACACACAAGTGATGTTATCTTTAACTTGCTCACTACCATTTGTAGTCACAATCATTGTTTTCTTTCCTTTTTCTGCTTGGTTACTGCAAGTTATTCGAACTCCTGTACTTATCAGACAATATCCTTGCAGAACATGCACCAATTTTGTGAACTCTCTTTTTATATTACGAAGAAACTCTCTGTGCCGGACTGGCAAGGTAGAAAACAAGTTTTGTAGGGAGACTGTTGTGCCAAGATCCCTGGCACAAGGTTGCTTTGAAAGCAACTTGCCATTGTGATCATATTCTAGTTTTGTTGCTGCAGCTTGGGAAGAATGGTGCGTTACTATAGACAGCTTACTGTTGAGACAAAGAACAAAACATCAATTTATTAGCCTGAGAAGACCACCAACATTTTGTGACCCCACCACTGGTTTCCCTGCAAAATCATGTCTGAGAAACAAGCGCAGAAATTCCATACTGATGATGCATCACTACCCTGATCTAAGTAGTCCTTCTGATTGGTTGAATCAAATTTCCCTCGTGGCACGACCAATTAAGAAAGATGGAAAACAGTCGTCGTGTTGTGAAATGTCAGCTATCTATTCATTGGCCTTTAAAGTTTGACTCTTTAATTAGGAGGTCTATGTAACTTTATTACAGCCACAGCTACCAAGGGGAAGGGTAAGCTCAACAATAACATTATTAGATCACTGGTCTGTGCATACAGTTCCATTCCAGGGACCTGACAATAAACATCCTAGATGATGATGAATTTTTCTGTGTGCAGACCATCCCAGTTTTTGCCAAGTAACGAAATACTCAAAATTGTGAACATTCCCTATAATGTCTGATCAGTGTTCTCCCTAGGTACTTAATGCTAGGTGGACCATCTGGCTTAATTCACTAGAAAATTGTTGCTGCCCTGCTTAAAAACTAAAGATTTCACTGAACAGAAGCTTATGTTGACATTTAGAGCTAGGTATTTTAAAGACAAAATCACTCAAAGCAGGGAATAAATCATTGTCTGGTGTCTTAATTTGTGTAATTTCTTGCAAGATATCGGTTATTAAAAGGTTTATCATTGGATGAATATGTTCAAACCTGTGATGCATTCATTTTGTTGAATGGCCCTTTAAGGAACTTTAAACATTGAGAACTTAGGAAATTCTTTCGCTCGCAGTCAACCCAAGACGCACGGAACAAAGATGAAAAGCTTATCATGGCAAACGAGTTCTTTTTGTACAACTTACTTAAACTAAGTTCCCAAGTCGATAATTTTTATTCAGGCTACAGCAGGCTTCGTACAAACGCCGTTAAAAATCTGGCATGGTTGAGAACAAGGTGGGATTGTTTCTATATTCCCAAAGCACCTCTACTTTTTGCTTGGCATTCCCTACATGTAAACATGTTTAGTGTAAGGGATTAACAGCGATAGTTTCTCTTGGGACTCCACCCTCTGACATATTGCTTGGCACCATCTGGAATAGATGCTGCAATATATTTGAGATACTTCACAGACTGTCCAACCTTCTGAGCAGGTAAAGTCAGGATATTTTAATAATCGAGGAATCACGCGAGTGCCGAAGGGGTGAGCCGCTAGGGGGGCCTAGCGGGTGGATGCTTACTAGGGCGAGGGTGTTAATTAAAGTGTGGGCTCTTATTTGAGGAAATACTATATGACAAACAGCCTTAATTAACTTTACTACAACCTCGTCCCCAGGGTGCTTTTCCATGGCTTCGCCCCACCTCCAAAGCCAGGAATGAACCTTCATATGACTTTACAGCTTAAAGATTGAAAGTACTGACAAAGTTAACCCTCAGAAATAGCCAGTTTTTTCTCCCTCCCTTCAGAAAGAGGGCCTTTTGCCCTTATCCCTCAGAAATATTCCAAGAAAGTTCTCCAAGAGTTACAGGGGTGGGCATGCTCCAGGGGCAGATCCAGGATTTTTTTAGGAGGGGGTGCACTTGTCTCTTGCTTTACTTCAACACCAATAAACCACATAGTTTTCTTTTCTTTTTTTTTGCAGAATACCAGTTGTATTAGAAAACTGCAGGTCATCTCAGGGAAGGAGGCGGGTGCGCACCCCCTGCACCCTCCCCCTAGATCCGCCTCTGTGCTCTCTTTTTCTTCTTCCCTCCCCCAATCCTGTACCCCCCGGGAGATGTTGTCGTCCATATGATATAGGACCATATAGGGGAGGGGGGGGGGGGGGGGGGGGGGGTT